AAAAGTTAACTTATAATTATGTATACTTTCTCCAAGGTAATATTTTCGTTGTGTATTCGTCTTTTATACGAAATAAAGACAAATCAATATAATTTCAAACAATGATTGTAATATAAATCCATGTTTCAAACTAGAACCAGATATGTTAAAATGCAAAAACTGACAACGATTAAAACTGCAATAGATAAATATGTAAAAATGTTTTGCCGTCGGCCTAAAAACCAAGCATTCATGTTTCATTAACCTTTTTAACAGTATGTCCGATGAAGTATCTAGTTTTAAATCAAGACGTTGAAAAGGGTTTCATATTAATTGTAATATTTCTCACTTCATGGTAAATATGTTAATCATAATAAGCTACTTTCGTTGTCAGTTTTCTTCCAATTAAAATTTATGATGTGTACATATATTTTTTGTATTAGTTCAGAGACTTAGAATAACATGATAATAAGACTTATTTTTATCTACAGGTTCAACTTTTTATCAAAAAGATATAGATATATATAATTACGACATTTATTCAATTTACTTTAAGCAGGAAGATTAAAAAACACCCATAAGTTTGTGAATGTTAAACAAATGAATTAAAAATCTAGAGTTTTTATAAGCTGTTACCTTTATTTGATAATTCAACCATCAATTTAAGCATCGAAATATTTTCCGTAAAGCAAAAAACTTAACTCAAAGTTAAGATTAGATACTTTTAATGAATATAAATATAATACAAATACAATTACCAGTCAAATTACTGAAAGGCACCCTCCATTTTTGAAGAAAAATGCTGATGTGCTTTTCATAAAAAGTAACAACAATAAAACAACAACAATAACAACAAACAACAACAACAACAACAGAAACACAAACAAGTGTTAAAGAAAAACGAACAAATGCGAATATATACCTGTTAAAACCATTCACAAGTTTATTGAAATATGAAACAGGAACTTGGGGATTTGGCGTATGATATTAAAAACAACAACATGGTTTAACTTCTTATAGTCACAATTATCTCCATTATAATGGACTAGTCTATAAGTTTACGTTAATTCCTACTTGCTATCTAATTTTGAAGGAAGGCAAACGACCAACATTCTTAATGAATATATACATCGTTTCATGATTTGATGCAGAATTAGATATATGTTTCAGAATCCTAAATATAAATTGACATACTTACATATAGAATCTCGAAAAAAAAAAGCATGTTACAATGAACAATAATATTTTAGATAAACATTTAAAACGCGGATCCCTCTCTTTAATCAGTATTTAATGAAATTTCAAAATGAAATAAGATCTATATATTTTTAATCTTTCTGTTTGCAGGCATCAAATTGTTAATGCATTTTGCTAGATTGCTTCGTTACGAAAGAAAAGAAAGCAGTCAAATGCTACCCCCTTCTAATTATTTCGAAACGTCTTAATTGAATAGGATCAACACATGATAATAAATACATGGGGACTGACCAATTTCTTCTGGGCATTACAACGAGACAAAATAAGTTAATAAAGTTATTGCTCGATTGCTCCCTTGAAATGTTATCGGAAGTAAACATTATAGAAACTGTTAAACACTTATGCTTAAGTTCATGTTTTGCTTTATATTACATTCATAATTTTCACTTTTTCGTTTGAAAATAATTTATTTATTGTGCTTTCGTTTACATTACATTTTACATAAAACGTCTTAATTACAGATGGTAACTTTTTATAGAACGATCTATTTATTTATTTAAATACAAATACATGTTATGTTAAGATAAAGGGTTATATTTTTTGATAATGCATTTTACACATTAATGTTATAGAGACTTACACTTAATTTTAATAAACATACACTACTTAAAACTATCCAGCTAGCTTACGGAACGTCGGTGGTTCTACTCACAGTGACTCAGGTGCCCGTTCGTGCCTGAAATAATGAACGGAAGGGCATCTGAAGTCTCCCTTCACCAGTAAAGCTTGAACGTCGCCATATGACATATACTGTGTCGGTGTGACTTAAAATCCAATTAAACAAACATACACTATGTATAAAAGTTTCTTATTTACATGATTATATACATGTATCTACATTACTATCAATCATACACCAACAGCAATAACATTAAATATGTATGACTCCATCATAATACTAGTAAAGTATAATTTACACACCAAAATAAAGTTAATAGTTCATAATGTAGTGATAGCTAAAAGTAAGTGGAGTCGGACTTCCTTTCCTTGCTGTAACCAATCACTCCCGAGTAATCGATATATATCCGCCATATTTTGAATATACATGTAAACAGCCATTTTCATCTTTTTTGTAGGTATTTATTGATATATATTTACTGGTAAATGTTTGTCTATGGTGTCTTATATGTATTTGTGTGTCACAGTGTGAGCAAAATGTGCAGCCTTACGGTACTCGAACCGGGGACCCTCGGAATATCGTACCGCGGCTCTACCGACTGAGCTATCCGGCCGCTTACACATCTTCTACCCTAAAAAGTGAACAGTTCTGAACCGTGACATACTCCCCTGCTATATTGAAATTCGTTCTCGAATTCATAGAGTTACAGAGCAATGTGAATTAAACTCTGAGCTATATTCATTCACGGTCCCCCGTTGGGCGCCAAATGTCACAGGGTGAGAAAAATGTGCAGCCTGACTGGGACTCGAACCTGGGACCCTCGGAATACCGTACCGCAGCTCTACCGACTGAGCTATCTGGCCGCTTACATATCTTCTCCCCTTAATAATGAACAGTTCTGAACCGTGACATATGTATTATATTTCCATTGATCTGAATTTGTGTTATATATTAATGATTACACTTGTGTTGAGATTAGAATATTACTTGTTATTTCTTTTTGATCATTATTCTTTAATAGCAATGGATATACATGTATACAATCATTTATAATCCATATGTGTAACGCATGATCAACACCACACTTGTGGACTTGTTTCTTATTATGTTATCGCTATTAGCGAAGAACCCCTCTTAAGGTATCTGTTCACACTTAGTAAAAATATGACACTGGTTATATTACCATGTTGATCATGTTGAGCATAATTGTTTATTATACAATAATTGTAATATCTATTTTAATATAAAAAATACAGATTTTATTAATATTGTTTTCCTCTCTTTTTTTTGTGTTTTATGTGCTATTTTAATACTGAGTTTTTACGTTTACTACTCTTTATTTTATTAAAATTGTAAAATAAATTTTAAGAACTCAATTGTCATATTGACCGACGATTATAAGTCAAAACTTAACTGGAAAAAGTCAGTAAATTATGCTTAATCTTTCAATATATAATATTGTTTATTCTTAAACGATGTACATGTACATTTGTATTTTTCTTCATCATTTTTTAAATTATCAATCAATTGAATAATTCATAAAATCTAATTTGTAACTTTGAATCTTTACTAAACACGAATATCAAATAAAATAAAAATATTAATAGCATAAAATGTTCCTTTTTCTCAATTATTGTACATATTTATTGTTTTTATCTTATATAGATAAAACGAAACATGCTATTGTTGTTGTTGGTTTTTTTTTCGAATTGTATGTTTATGTATAATAATAATCAATAAATTTGAGAGTTGATCTATGTTTATTAATTATTGTAACCAAACTAAGTGAAAAACATTCATTTTGGGAAAAAAAGCTGATTTATCTGTAAAATATTGTTATGTTCTGTAACGATATTAAACATCTACTCCAAAAACCCGGGAGAGACCCGGACAATTAAACGTGTGATATATTCGCCGGTCACTAGTAAAATCCCGGTCAAAAATAGACCGGGAGAGACCGGAAAATTACCGATAGCAGTACATCCCTCTATAAATAGATTTTCGGAATGTTTAGGTCGTCAACTCATCATTCTATTTTAACATACCATAATAACCCACTTTGTACTACGAAATGATAAATAAAAAAAACGAAGAGACGGAAAAGGTTATTTCATGCATTGCGAAATTCTCCAGTTCGCTATTTATTGTATATATCGAGACATTTTTTTAATCAAGCACCCTCATACAGATCGGAATGATCGGCTTTTATTATGACCGACTAAAAGGCTTGAGAAGTTGCTGTCGCCCTTTCTCATTCCATAAGGACCCTGCGCTTTGGCGCGGACGCCAATAAATTACAAACATTAACATGACTTTTCTACTAAAATATGTGAATGATAATATATGAATTTCATATTTCATTTCTTCTTTATTTTACAATATCTTTGCACAAATATGCAATGTTTATTTATTACAAATTGCGACGACAAAAATGGATCAATGTTATTGTTATACATTCAGAAATATTTAACTTCCCATTATATTTATATCATCGTACAATGGAGAAATATTTTTCCATAAATGGCAACTCCTGAATGAATGGAAAATTTGAACGGAACATAGAATCTTTACAAGAATAAAAAACATTTTTGAACAATTAAATGACGAAATCTTTCTTTGATCATACACATCTGTTCCCAAACTAGAAGATCTTATTGAAAACCTATAACCTCAAACTAATTTATTTCAACAAACAATTTTTCTTGGCACGTTGACATATTCGATAAAACTTAGACAATCAAACAGTTGCGTGTTTGCTAAGATTGTTAAGATTGTCCATTGAAAAATAGTTGATACATAATCCTTTTCATACAACCATAAGAAATGATTTTACATACAAGTATTACAATTAGATAGTAATTTCTATTTTGGTAAAATTTACGTTAAAGAAAATTTCATATCATGCTCTCAAAATTTTAAGTCTCCTTATGCATTACATAACAATCTAACTCCTGGTTCAATGCATACAAATAACCATTCACACCGCAAAAAGTCACATATTTTTATCACAGATAAAAAAACTGTAATATATCTTGCTGTTACATTTTCAAATTGTATGACAAGCTAGGCCTTTCTATAAAGGGACCACTTTGCATTCATATTCTCAGTTCGAATTCACGAAAAGTAAATATTTTCACATTTATTTTTAATGGAAGCCAGAGCCCAACACAGAGATTACAAGTCTACATATATGAAACTTTGCAGCATTATTTCTGCCTCGTATTTTCAGTGATAACAGATAGCACGTTAAAGCAGCATCCATTTTGTTTTCCTGCTCCATACACTGACCCAGGAGGTTTAGTGCTGTATCTTTATGTCCGAAATTTGGCTCCTCTACAATACATTTAGCAAGGTTGGAAATTGCCGCCTGTTTATCACGATTCCTTCTGAGATGAGAATAAGTCTTATACTGTAGAAAGTATAAATACGGCAGAGAATCGACCACAGCCAAATTCATCCAGTCATCATCTTCACTTCTAAAAGAGAGGTCTTGTTGTGTTGATCTGAACATTTCATGTTGGAGTTCATGAGGACAACAGTTAATTTCACATCGTAGAAACCTGACACAAGATGCAGTTATATTCTGTAGCAATGTATATTCATCCTCTGCTTCATAACATAACTTATCAAATGCCTTTTTACATTTTTTATATTTATAAACGTAGCAATGACATATTGGTTCAATCACATTGAGATCATAACTTTCTTCAATATTTTTCAAAATAAGTTCAGCCCTCTCAATTTCTCCTGTACAATAGAAAATTGATGCTAGTTTCACTTTACTCGATATTAGGTCAACGTTTAGACATAACGACATCAAAACGGTAGATTCTCGGCATAAACCAACTTGACTATGTATGTTCATTGAAGCTAGAGCGGAACCTAAATGCATGCTTATAAATTTAGCCAATGCACTACATGCTACTTTATTTTGCCCTTGATTCATATAATGAGTTAATGTCATAAGGTATTTATATAATGTCTGTAATAGAACTCTTATGTGACTGATTTTATTCGTAATTTTAAGGATAAGCAAGTGAAATGCATTGACATAAAGACCAATATGTGTTACGAGGTTGCCTGAAATCTCACAAGACATATCTTCAGGATCAAGCTCTACTAACCTCAAAAAAGTGTTTTGAATTCTGAAACCAAGTTGATCACATTCTATTTCAAGTAATGCACTTCCGTTACTGCTTATAATGTAGGAGAGTGTATCTATTATGATTCGTTTTGTTACTGGAGTAAAACCTCTCGCCATTAAATTGTTCTCTGGGATGATAAAATGTGGACAGTAATCATTTAGAACACAATTGTAAAGTATTGTCAGACAATAATTCAAACAGATAAGCAAGGTGTTTTCGTTCCAAGAATGGTTTTCTGTAATTGAAATACAGTGAAGCATAACCGTTTTGCACATAAAACTTGAAACGCTATCAGGGCATTGTGTATTTATAAATGATTTTAAAATTATTTTCATTAGAACATAGCATCTGATTTGTGTTATATTCAGATTAAACATTAAATATCGCTCGGCAAGGGAAGTGGATATTCTCCATTCAAGTTCTTCATTTTCACTGTCTTTGCCTCCAACTCCTACAACAAAAAACCCCGTATTTTTACAATATTGTTTCATATCAAATGTAGGCCACTGACCTTCACCTTGCTGAGCAATCCATTGTCTAGCCTGAAATGGCCACTGTTGACAATAAAGTGCAAGGACAATGTCATCACCATAGAAATCAGACGTTTCATCTCTTGATTGTGCTGGGCCATGTCTAACATGTTCAGGAATCTTCACGATATTTGCTATTGCATTACTTAATAGTACTCTTCCTATTCTATCTCTATACGAGTATTGATTAATGACATTGACTACTGGAAGTGGAACATCCTGTCTGAGTACCTGTAATAAGCAATATCCTGGTGATACAGTATCATCCTGTATCATTAACAGGTTTTCTACACCAGGTTCCCATTCACTCCAGTCTTGTATCACTCTGTACCTGGGAAGTGTGAAAAGAATATCCAGGTCAGAACTAAGTCCAAGGGTTGTAGTACCTTCTATTGTACTACCTAAGTTATACACATTTACATCTTCTTCATGTATTAATCGGTGTCCTATCGTAAGTATTGATTCATTCATTAGCCCTAGTCGTCTTCTTTTTATGACCATTCTTTCGTTCACTCCTATCTCATCAAGTACTTTAGACAGTCTGAGTGACACATTGTGAGTGTAATATGGCATTTCCGACATCCTGAAAATAAATAAGTATTATTATTTTCATCGTAAATACAAGTTTCAAAAACTAAAGAAAATGCATGTCTACAATTGACTTTGTAAATGTCAAGTCAAATTTTCTTCTGGAGATGTAATTTTTAGCGCAATATGAATAATTAAACAGTTTCTTAATTGTTAATGTTTTGTGTTTGTTTTTCTTCTAGGCCAATTTGAATTTTACTATGTTTATTGCCTTGAGGTTTAATCTGCAGCAAGATCAAAATTGAATTCGAAAGTCCTTATCTTATTCGACTTTTCTATCAATCGATATATAATAAATCAATCAAATCAATCGATATAAACTGCAAACTTGTAATTTTGTTATTTGATAGAAATGGTACTGCAGACGTTCAAGAGATAATTGTCGTTCAAAGGTAGTTTCATTATCACAGTTAACATTAAAGACATTAAGGAACAAAAATCATATTAATTTCTGGGAAATTTTTGAATAAAAAAGGTTTTGATTTTCCCAAAATGTATAGATTTTTTATATGAATAATACCTTGAGAAATTTTTGGTTACTTTACTTCACTTAAATAGGCATTAAAAGTCTCCTGATAATTCACATCAAGGGTGATTTTTAAAGTTTTGGTTTAGGTATTTTCTGTTTTTTTCTTGATTGAAATTCACAAACCCTTACCCGAATTTGACACTTACTATTTCATTCGTTCCTTTTATGTAATATGTTTTAAAAGAATAAATAATTTTTAAAAAGAAAATGATTGACATGGATATTTGTTATAAAGATAATGAAAATATTACCTGCAAAAAATGATATAAACTTAAACCGTGACTTGTAAACGAGTGGCAGATATTTTGGATATTTTGGATATTTATTTAAGTAAGAATAAAATAAATACACTCTTTCAATCAGAACAGAACAAAACCTCTGTCATAGTTATTCAAATGTCACAACAAAGGAGAGAGGGAAAATCAGAGAATATTCTGTTCACGGTTTATCGACGCAGTATCTTAACATAGTGAGATAACATGTCCCTATAGAGCGCAGAATAGTGTTTGATGGAGGATCACTCATCATAAAACAACCTCCTGTTGATTGTCCATAAGAAAATTACTATCCAGCTTCCCTGGCATTATTTTTGTTCACCAAAGAGAAATTATTTTATGATAATTTTACTTGACTAGTCAAGACTGCAGACTTTGGAATAACATAGTTTGGTTTACAATGAAACTTTTGTATACAGTTAAACAATTGTAATAATTCTTCAACATCAAAGTAAAACATGGACCGGTAAATGTTATTTTATAGAGAAGAACGACCATGGTTATGTACTAGAAACTTACTTTACTTTATATTTACTTAAACAATTATTTCAATACAGAAACTGTAAAATTATTCCACTTGAGGAAATAACTTTTTTTCTTAAATATTATTACCTGTTGGAGAATTTTCTGTCAAAGTATTACAAAGATTCAGTGATGAGAGAAATCACAAGATACACATTGTAGTCTCTAGTTCAATGTTTAAGATAATTAATGTCATACCACATCAACTCAACTAATTTAAATCAATCATCAAGTACATTCCTTCTTTTATTCATTTTATTTGAAACAAGAAAATTAATTTATTTTATTTTTTATCTTTGTCCTAATATTTTGTTAAAGTAAAAAGCCTATTGTGTGTCTATTTTGCATGAACTAGGTCAAAGATTAAGTAAGTTAAAAGATAAAATATATTAGGCAAATTAGAAAAATTGGTGATTTTCCAATTTACGAAATTATTTGCTTAAGAACCGCACATTTACGACTAATTTCAATTGGAAAACTAACCATTTAAATGTTTAACGATTTTTTATATCCTTCATCACTCCTTTTGAGCTGTTTAAATCGTTCTCTTTGTTTCTAATTAGTACTTAACTATTACTCATTCGTTTAAACATAGAATACTTATCGCTAATTAATTAAGAATGAAATAAGATATAAATACATGAAAAACAATAAATCAAAATAAATACCTGTTACTTAAGCAACTTGAAAACTTGAACATAAATTGAAATAGAAACTTGGGGATTTCCAACTGTTGATAAAACTACGTAACTAGCAAACAGAACACCTCCACGATTAATAATGATAATCAGTCAACCGTAATATGAATTGTCAATATCCGGAGATTGACGTAAAAGGCCGAAGATTTGCGATTATGTTCCACATATTTACTTCCTTTTATTATACCTGAAAAAACAACTTGTGTTTTATAAATATTTTTATAGGCTAAATTGCCAATAGAATTTAAGTAGCGTTGTGTAAACTTTAATAGAACAAAATTAAAATTAAAAAAATATGAAACTAATTAATTATGTGGTTTTTTTTTATATTATTAAGTAATTAAGCATTTTCGTAGTCACATTAATTTTATATGATTGATCATCATCAGATGCTATGTTTATAACTGGGAAGGCGTAGGTTTATAATAATGGCATGTTCCTTTTTTTTACACAATGTTCCTGATATGTAAATAAGTGTCATCCCTACAGATATGTCCTGGTAATAGAACAACAGAGCAATTGCTGTCCTAGAATGCTGAACTGATATTTCATTACTATAGAAGTGGTAATAACTTCACCAATTCAGACAAAAACAATCTGAAAAAATAGGTGATCCCTCAGAGGCAAATAACAATATCAATGGAAATTGCAGTCTCAGGTTGAATTATATGTGAAAATGCATCACTCCTCACACACCCCTTACATCGGCTAAGCGGTATTCAATTTTCAACACTTAATAATCCCGATGGACCAGAAAAATATAACACTAGATGGAACTACAGGGCAACTTTTATAGCTGTAACACAGCACTTAACACCTACCGTTGTGAAATATGAAAATTTGGAAAACAGATGCTCCCGCCAAAGCAACGAAAACAACAATATTAATTGATAATTACAGACTCTGTTTGATTGGGACTGATCACGAGATATAATCTTAAAGTGTATCATGTCACACACCCTGTTACACCTAGAAAAATATCACTTTGTCATATTCATTTTCATTCAAACTCAAACTCTAAAATCACTCACCTAAATGAACAAGTGGTTAAAATATTGACCGGCTGAGGGAAACACTCGGATACCTTCAGTAAAGTGTCACTAGGCAATGCAACATATGAATGAACAACATTATGATCTAGTTAATGGGCTGGCTGTATTTAAGTTTTGCACGATAATGGAATTTCAGCCAGGGATCATAATTATAGCTTTACGAAACAAGTGAGCACAAATATGATTTGATAAAAGATTGGTAAACTTTTAAATATATTAAACCATTGTTATTTTTTATAACATTTTAGACATTTTCTATTATTTTATGACAGATGCTGAAATCTCTTATACATGTATAATATTTCTGAAATCTATATTTCACTAGTGAGAATAAAGTATCAAAACAGTTGTTCAATTCATATAAATGTATATTTATTCATTTATAAACCACATAACATATCAACGTTGTTTAAACATTATATCACATACTAGTTGAACAATTATAATTTATAAGTATGTCATTAACATTTTATTCACACAATAGCAAAAAACATTTTGTAACTGATAGGTTATATTTTGAGTTTGATAAAGAAAAATACATGTATCTATAGATATTTTGGCGACAGTAGACGTTCTTGTGGACTATATCTAATCGTGATAGGAATCAGAGCACATGAATATTTTATAATAAATGTCACAAGATTTTTTATTATACCCTTATTCAAAATCTACATGACAAGAGAAAATATGTCTTCATCTCAATAACTAAAAATAGGTGTAAAGGACAGGGATTCCAGCACATGTTCACTGTTTGTGAGTCTATAAACACACATAATGGCAACTTGATGAGCAGACAAGGCCAATTTGTAAGAAAAAATAACCTAATATGAAAATGACAGGTATTTAGCAATAAAGCTGCATGCCTCCAGATAAGAATATACAAAGTATGTAAGGAAATCAGCATTCTCTATAACAGGTCTAGTTAAGTTGGTCCTTTCTTAAAAATAAACTGCCAGTTTTTTTTAACGACACTATACACTCATATTGTGGTATCCAGTAGTGTGTGGAGTTTAAAACATATCTAATTTGTGTGAAGTCGAATGTTGATTTTATATTTACAAAAGATGTAGCAATTTTCAGTAAATTAAAACATCAAATTTAAGCATAATATTTCTTTCTTTAAAAAACAATTTAAAGAGTTTCTGGAAAATAGCATGAATCCGCAGGCATGCTGCTTTAAGCTAAATAATACAAAATATATTTGTACTAGTACATGATTGGGAATGTATATAACACCATATCGTTCTCTCCAGCAAATTCATTACAAAACCGGACCGAGGAAGTGGCGGCGAGGTACCTAAAATTTAGTTTAATGGCAATAAAATCACAATTTTACTCAACTTCGACTTCTTAGTGTGACTTTTGTAGCCGAAATATATATATTAGTGCTTGAAAATACATAGAAATAATTATTGTGCTAGCTTTTCACTATGTAACTCGGTAAGTCCCTATGAAGAATTAAAACATAAGACTATGGAATTCAGACACGAATAACTTTTTTCAGTTTACTTGAGACAGTCATTATAACATATGATTTATAAATTACAAACATTTACATGACTTTTCTACTAAAATATAAAATAAGATATAAATTTCATATTTTATTTCTTCTTCCATTCCACAATATCTTTGCACAAATACGTATGCAATGTTTCATTATTACAAAATTGCGAAAAAAGAACTGGATAAAAATTTTTTAAAATTCAGAAATTTTTGATTTCCCCTTTTAAAATCATCGTAAAATTGGGAAATTTTTCCATAAATGGCAAAACCCTGATGAAGGGAAAATTTGGAAGGGAACTAAAATTTTTTACAAAAAAAAAACTTTTTTTTTAAACAATAAATGACAATTTTTAATTTAACATAAACACTGCCCCCAAACTAAAAGAATTTTAAAAACCATAAACCTCAAACAACTTTTTTTTATATAAAAATTTTGGTTGGTAACGTTGACCTTATTCGAAAAATTAAATAAACGGGGGGGGTTTTTTTTTGCTTAATTTTAAAGATTGGTCATTGAAAATATTTGATACATAATCCTTTTCATACATCTATAAGAAATGTCTTTACGTATTATAATTAGATAGTAATTTATATTTTGTTTAATATACGTTAAAGGAAATGTTGCATCATGCTTTCAATCTTCTAAGTCTCCATACAAGTCTGACAAATGCATTACATACCAATCTAACTCTAGGTTGAATGCATACAAATCACCAAACACATCGACAAGAAGTCATAGATTGTAAAAAATTGTAATATATATTGCTGTTCCATTTTCAAAATGTATGACAAGCTAGGTCTTTCTATAAAGGGATCACATGTATTTATATTTTCTGTTCAAAGTCACAAAAAGTAAATATTTCCACATTTATTTTAATGGAAGCCTGAACCCAACAGTGAGTTTACAAGTCTACAGATATGAAACTTTGCAGCGTTATTTCTGCCTCGTATTGTCAGAGATATCAGATAGCAATTTAAAGCAGCAATTATTCTGTTTTCTTGCTCCATACACTGACCTAGAAGGTTTAGTGCTGTTTCTTTGTGTCCGAAATTTGTTTCCACTACAATACATTTAACAAGGTTGGAAATTGCCGTTTGTTTATCCCGATGTCTTCTGAGATGACAATATGTCTTATACTGTAGAAAGTATAAATATGACAGAGAATCTACAACAGCTAAATCCATCCATTCATCATCTTCACTTCTATAAGGGAGGTCTTGTTGCGATGATCTGAACATTTCATATTGGAGTTCATGGGGACAACAGTTTATTTCACATCGTAGAAACCTGACACAAGATGCAGTTATACTCTGTAGCAATGTATATTCATCATCTGCTTCATAACATAATATATCAAATGCCCTTTTACTTTTTTTATGTTCAAAATCGTAGCAATGGCATATTGGTTCAACTACATTGTGATCACAACTTTCTTCAATATTTTTCAAAATAAGTTCAGCCCTCTCAATTTCACCTGTACAATAGAAAATTGATGCTAGTTTCACTTTACTCGATATTTGGTCAACGTTTAGACATAACGACATCAAAACGGTAGATTCTCGGCATAAACAAACTTGACTTTGTATGTTCATTGAAGCTAGAGCGGAACCTAAATGCATGCTTAGAAATTTAGCCAATGCACTACATGCTAATTTATTTTGCCCTTGATTCATATAATGGGTTAATTGCATCAGGTATTTATATAATGTCTGCAATAGAACTCGTATGTGACTGATTTTATTCGTATATTCGAGGACAAGCAGGTGCAAATTATTGACAGAAAGACCAATAACATTTACGAGGTTGCCTGAAATTCCACAAGACATATCTTCAGGAACAATCTCTACAAACCTCAAAAAAGTGTTTTGAATTCTGAAATCAAGTTGATCACATTCTATTTCAAGTAATGCACTCCCGTTACTGCTTATAATGTAAGAGAGTGTACCTAGTATGACTTGTTTTGTCACTGGAGTAAAACGTCTAGCCATTAAATTGTTCTCTGGGATGATAAAATGTGGACAGTTATCATTTAAAACACAATTGTAAAGTATTGTCAGACAATAATTCAAACAGATGAGCAAAGTGTTTTCGTTCCAAGCGTTGTTGTCTGTACTTGAAATACAATGAAACATGACCGTTTTACACATAAAACTTGAAATGCTATCAGGGCATTGTGTATTTATAAAACTTAATTTATTGCAAAATAAATGTTTTTATGGTCACATTAAAAGGCTTAAATGGGGGGTTTCTTTAAGTTTTAGTCATGGTCGAATAAAATTGGTTGGGAAAAAGCCGTACTAGTAATTAACAAAAGGTTACGTTATAGAAAGAAACAATGTGAAAAATTTAAAAAGCTAAATTGGTTTCCGCCATTTTAGAAAAAAGAAATAATTATAAAAATTTTCAAAAAATTGCTTTTAACACGGTAATTATGTTTTTTTTGATGGGCTAAATTATTTCCAGGAAGGTTCCCAATTTATCCGGCAATAGTAAAAATGTGGGAAATTTTTCCCAAAAAAAAAGGGTTTGGGGTTTTTTTTGACGG